GGGACTTTTGAACTCCAAAATTCTCCTGGTGGGATGCAGATTGAGAGAACTATTAAAGTGCAAATGTACACACACACACAGAAGAAGGGATGACTCAGAACAGAGTCCACCATGGGACAGAGTTAAAATCCTACGAGGATTTTATGTGGAAACCAACAAGCTGATTTAAAAATGTAACAGCATTTTGTGTATTTATTTTAAATTATTTATATAGTTAGTTCTGAGATAGGGTCTTACTATGTAGTTCAGGCTGGCCTTGAGCTCACTATGGAGCCTAGTCCGACTTCAAAATCAAGGTGATCTCATCTTGCCTCAGCCTCCCATGTGCTGGAATTATAGGCATGTGCCACAGGGATAAAATGAACAAGCATTTTAAAGGCAAATGAAATATAATAGCCAAATCTATTTTGAAAAAGAAGGGAAGCCAAGAACTGTGGCACATTCCTGGAACCTCAGCTACCTGAGAGTCTGAGGCAGGAGGATCATAAATTCAAGACTAGGCTAGGCAAATTAGTGAGGCTCAAAATAAAAAACTAAAAGGGCAAATGCCCGGCGTGGTGGCACACGCCTGTAATCCCAGCACTCGGGAGGCTGAGGCAGGAGGATCGCTGTGAGTTCGAGACCAGCCTGGGCTACATAGTGAGTTCCAGGTTAGTCTCAACTACATAGTGAGACCCTGTCTCAAAACAAAACAAAACAAAATCCCTAAATAAATAAAAAGGGCTAAAGATATAGCTCAGGGGTAGAGAGCTCTTGGGTTCAATTCCCAACAGAGGAAGAAAAAATTTAGAGACTCTATCTGATTTCAAATGTTACTGGAAAGCTATAATAATCAAGATAGACTACAAGATTTACTATAAAAGAAACTGAGTATGGTATTAGCAAAAGGATAGACATAGAACAATTGAACGAAACAGAATCTCTAGTAATAGTTTTTTTATTTTCTAGTACACTGCTGGGGATTAAACCCAGGGCCTCAAGCACAGCTTTGCACATGCTGCATAAGCAAGGACTGTACCACTGATCTACATCCCCAACCCTTTTTTAATACCCACTTTGGAGACAGACTTGCTATTTAGTCTAGGCCAGTGATGGTGAATCTTTTCGACACCAAGCGCCCAAACTACAACTCAAAACCCACTTATTTATTGCAAAGTACCAACACTGCAATTAAACCTGAATACTAAGGTTTTAGTTTAGAAAAAAAACTCATACATGCACATCTGTCTTAAAATAAAAACAAATACAGTAACACACATGCCACAGGTTCACCACCATTGGTCTAGACTGACCTAGTGTATACTATGTAGCCCAGGCTGGTGTCCAACTCTAGATCCTCTTGCATTACAGGCCTGCATCACCACATCTGTCATCAACTGGCTTGTGAGAAAAATACAAAGCTATTCAATGGAGAGAAGATGGACTTTTCAATAACTGAATACCTATATGCAAAAGAAAAACCCTAATCCGTGCCTTATGCTATTCACAAAAATTAAGTCAAATGAGTCTCACAGCCCGGTGTGGCGGCCCACTCCTGCAATCCCAATTCTTGGGTTCCAGGGGCAGGAGAACCACAAAGTCAAGGCCAGACTGGGAATTTTGTTTTGTTGTGTTTTGTTTTGTTTTTGAGACAAGGTCTCACTATGCAGTTCAGGCTGGCCTTGAACTCACTATGGAGCCCAGGCTGACCTCAAACTCAAGGTGATCCTCCTGCCTCAGCCTCCCAAGTACTAGGATTACAGGCATGTGCCACCATGCCCAGTGAGCCTGGAAATTTAGAAATTGTATGAAAATAAAAACTTAAAAGGTCCGTGGGTGTAGCTTAGCATTCCTTGGATTCAATTTCCAGTACTATTTAAAAAATTAGTCTTATACCCAAATAAAAATCCTAAAGCCACAAAATGTCTAGGAGTCTTAGTGATTTGCTGCTAGACAAATATTTCTTAGATTTGATACCACAACAATAGTTCATAAAAAAGATAAAAGACTTCATCAAAATTAATAATTTTTCAAGAAATAGTTAATAAAATGAAAAGATAACCATAGACCAGTAGAAAATAGTTGCAAGTCACCTGTCTGATAAAGGGATCTAGAAAAGAACTCTCAATAGGTATTAATAATATGAAAAGTAACCTAATTTTAAAATCATCAAAAGAGCAGACACTTCATCAGAAAAGACAGATTTCAAACAAGCACATGAAAATATGTTCAACACTGTTAGTCATTAGGGAAATACAGATTAACATTGCTATGAGATATAACAACGTATCTCTAGCGTGGCCAAGAAAAGGATCCGAACATCTAACAGTACTAATTGTTGCCAAGGATGTAGAGCAAACAGACCTCTTATACACTGCTGATGGGAATATGAAATATGAAAGCTGTTTGGCAGGATCTTATGAAGTTAAATATAAAATTATCACATGATCCAGTAATCCCATTTCTAGGTAGGTACCCAAGTGAAATAAAAGCTTGTATTTCTGGGCTGGGGATTTAGCTCAGTGGTTCTGCCACCTGCCTTACAAGTACAAGGTTCTGAATTCAATCCCTGGTACCAGAAAATTTTTATAAAGCCTATATTTCCACAAAACCTCAGCACAAATGTGTTTAGTAACTTTTATTCATAATCACAAAAACCCAGAAACTAATCCATATGTCTTTTAATGATGAATATTCAGAAATGAAACACTACTCAATAACGTTTGTTTATTAAGACAGGGTCTTGCTATGTAATTCAGGCTGGCCTTGAACTCACTATGTAGCCCAGGGTAGTCTCAAATTCTCAGCAATCCCCCTGCCTCAGCCTCCCCAGTACTGGGATCATAGGTATGTGCCACCATGCCTGGTGACTACTCAACAATTAAAAGAAGCAAATCATTAACACTCAACATGTGCGCATCTCAAATGAGAGAAATTTTGATTCAAAAGACTCCATACCACATGATTCTATTTGTATGATTTTCTGTAAAAGACAAAAATTACAGGGACTAAAAATATATCTGCTGCTGCCAGGACTGACAGTAGGAGGAGAGGTTAACTATATATAAAGATAGCTTCAGAGAACTTAGGGATTATGAAACCATTCCATCTATTGATTGCTGTGGTTATATAATAGTATACACCTGTCAGAACATATAGAACTAACTATATGCTAACAGGGTAGAATATAGTGTATGTAAAATATACCTCAACATAAGAAAATTAAAGCACAAACTGTAAAAGGAAACAAAAGGGTAGACAGAACCTTGCATCCACTGGGATGGTTACTCTTAAAAAATCTAGAACCCCTGTGCACTGTTTGGGAGAAGATGAAACAACATAGCCAGTGTGGAAAACAGTGCGGCAATTCCTCGTTTAATTAGAAATAGAATTTGCAGCTCAGAGACAGAGTATATCCTTAGCACATTTGAGACTGTAGGTTCAGTCCCCAGAAACACACGCACACACACACACACACAGAATTACTGTATGATCCAGCAATTCTACTTTTTTTTTTTCGGTACTGAGTATTGAACTTGGGTCCTTGTGCTTGCGAGGCAGGCAGTGGAACCACTGAGCTAAATCCCCAGCTCCTCAGCAATTCTACTTTGGATACCCAAAAGATAAAGCAAGGTCTGGAAGAGATACTTGTATACTCCTGTTCATAGCAGCATTATTTACAATAGCCAAAAAATAGATGCTATCTTAAATAACTTGTAATGCTGAGTGAAATAAATCAGATGCAGAAAATTAAATATCACATGGCTTCTCTTACACAAAAAAACCTAAAGTATAAATAATTTAAAGAGAAAATCAGAGATGACAGGACACAGGGAGGTGGACTATGGAAGGGGATCTAGGGAAGGGGCAGAAGGGAAGACATGGAGGGGAGGGGAAGTAAAAATGATTAAGATGTGATATGTGTGTACCAATTCTCCAAGATGAACATAATTATAATGTATCACAAGCACATACCAATGAAAACCACAAAAGTAAATAAAAACCTGAATGTCCGTAACTGAGGAGTGTAATATATACTCACAGTGGAAATTTCTCGTGTTTTGTCCAATTCTTTCTTCAAGACACCAAGAACCTGGAAAGAATCCTGAAAAGAGTCTATGGGACCCCCAAAATTGGTACAGAACGAGCAAACAAAATGGGCTATAGAAAATTACCTCTGTGAGCCACTGCTAATGGCCAAAGTCTAGTCACTTCGGGATGAATCATTCAGGTAGATGCAACTTCAGAAGGTGAGAACCAGGTGAGGAGTAGAAATAAAATACCAACATTCATGCTAGCTCCACATCTGTTTATTCATTTATAATCATATCTGGCTATGGATAGAAAGGTTAGGCAAAATTGAAGAAAAGTATATTATACGAAGTAATTGGCTAATGGAATTTAGAAGAAAGTGTATACACTGTGGTGGCAAATCTCTGGCACAAATGCTGCAACAGGCTGCTTGTACAAGTGAAAGTTCTAAAAGCTTTGTCATCTGGTATATAGAATATTATCCGTAGATGTCTATCAGTACAATGTACAGTAAGGGCTGAGGATGTGGCTCAACATTAAGAGTGCTTGTCTAGAACGCACAACACCCTAGGTTCAATCCCCAGTACCACACACACACACAATTATAAAACACATATTTCGTTTCAGAGAATGAATAAACACATAAGCATACGCATTGTTTTCTTTCCCTTCTGTTAGACTGTAAGCCCCCTGAAAGTAAGAATTTTATTTCACTCCAGCACTTAGAAAAGCACCTGGCATATAGCAGGTGCACGTTATGCACCTGGATGGATGAGCAGTTTGGGAATCCCTGGCTTCATGAGGTGACTGTTAGACCTCGGCTAGAATTCCAGCACCACCAGCACCCAGCTTTAGATTACCTAGCCCCTTTGATCCCTGGTTTTCTCCTTTTAAAGGGGGGGTAGGTTAATCCTCTCATGTCACAGGGAGGCTGTGATAATGTATTGTCACCTACTGTGTGTTTCTTCACACCCTCTATCTCCACCTCACACATAATCCCTGCAGACCCAGCCCTGCTGCTGTCACACATTTCAGTGATGTCACAGCTCCCCTGCCTGGCAGCTCCTGCGGCACCATCTGACGCCCAGCCTGAGTGCTGACTGGACTGAGAGGAGCAAGGGGCACACAGTGCCTGGTCCAGTTTCGCTCCTTCAGTCCAAGGACTCACAGCCCCAGCATGTGTCCATCAGCAAAGAAGAAGCCCAAGAACGGAGTGGTTTCCAAGGTCAGACTTTTAGATAGACCTTGTTCTGAGCCCCTTGAAGGGGTCTTAACAAAGCATCCAGCCAAGTTCATCCACAGGTTGTGGGTTATTGTTAAACTAATTAACATAGCGTGTAGCCACACCAAGAACAGAGGCCTTCAGGCTTAGGGGAAAAGGGAAAGGTAAAGGGTGAAGGGAGGCCCGGAGGGTTAAAACGGCCCCCCATCCTGCCCCCAAACCAAGACGACAAAATCCCCAGTCTAAGGCTGGTCAAACCACGTTCAGCCAAATGGAGAGGCGTAATGGAGGCATTCGAGGGACTTTCCTCCTGTGCTACCCTTCTCCCTCTCTTTCCCTCTCTATCCCTCAGATGGAAGACGAGAAAGTGCAGGACAAGATAAAGCAGCCTGTCCACAAAGCAATTGAGCGGAACCGACTTAAAATGGTGAGATGCCCCATTCTGACCCCAGCCTCGGGGAGCCTGAGTCTCCATGCAGTGCTGCTTCTGGCCAGCCGGGCTGACACCCAGAGGGGTCAGCAGACCCAGGCCTGAGCCGAGAATGAGCCACAGGCAAGGGAGTGAGAAGCTATCTCAGGAGAACTGAAGCTTTTATTTTCTGGTTTCTCATTCCTGGCAGGTGTTACGAAATTTGTCACTCTTGAAGCTATTTAAGAGCTCAAACAGCCGGATCCAAGAACTACATAATCTGGCCAGAAGGTGTTGGAATTCAATGATCAGATTTCCGAAGATCTTCCGTGTCTCCTCTGGGTGAGCTCAGCCCGCTTGTGACTCTCACGATGGATCCAACAGCTGTCCTTACTGGGAGAAGACATTGTGCTAAGGAGTTTAGAAACTAGATCTAATTTTCACAAAGGCTCTGTAGATAGGTATTTATTGTACCCATTTTACTGATGGGGCCTGAGGCGTGAGAGATGAGTGACTTAGCTCAGTTAAGGAGCAGAGCTAGTTTAAAGTAGTGCCTATCTGCTATCAGAGTTGCACCCATAGCAATGGTCATAATCATTCAGTTATGAGCTAACTGCAGTCTGGGGCACTAAGTACAAGGGATCCTCCTCCTCCTCCTACCAACCCAACCCAACCCAGAGATAATCTGCTACTGCCTTGGAGGATTAGTGTTTCTTTCTGAGGTTCAATTTCCTCAAAAGTCAAATTCAAATATTAAGAAAGTTGACACAGCCGGGCGTGGTGGCGCACGCCTATAATCCCATCACTTGGGAGGCTGTGGCAGGAGGATTGCTGTGAGTTCAGACCAGCCTGGGCTACATAGTGAGTTCCACATCAGTCTCAACTACATAGTGAGACCCAGTCTCAAAAAACCAAAAAAAAAAAAAAAAAAAAAAAAAAAAAAAAAAAAGGAAGAAAGTTGACATTTATTAGGTATCCATTAAGTGCTACTATACTAAGAAGTACTGCATTTAGTTTATTCCTCATAACAACCCTACTAGTTACGGAGGAGCATTCCAGTTTTACACATAAAGAAACTCTGGCTCTGGGAGGTTATATTTCTTATCCTAATACAGATAGTAGGAGGCAGAAGCAGAATCTGAACCCCAGTTTTCCTGATTCCAAAGCCTGTACTCAGCTTGGCATGGTGGCACACACATCCTGGCACTAGGGGCTGTGGCAGAAGACTGGAGCTCAAGGCCAGCCTGGGCTGCACATTAAGTTCAAGGCTAGCCTGGATGACGTGGTGAGACTTTTCTCAAAATCCAAACCAATGAACAAGCAAGCAAGCAAACAAAAAACAAGCAAGCAAGAGAAAAGCTTGCTCTCCACCTGCCATTCTGCTGCTCTATTGCTTCCTGCGGAACAGAAACAGTGAGGACCCTGGTCCCGACACAGTGGGTGGCCAGTCGACACTGGTCATTACTGCTATCTTGAGCCCAAGACCTCACTTCTTTCCAAACAGCCAGGCTGTGGTAGAGTGTGCTAGAATGGGGCTTTGCAGGGACTCACCCATCACAGACACACTTGGAGAGGTCCCCTTCCGGCAGATAATACCTTCACTCTTCCTTTGGGCTCTTCTCTCTGATCGGGCCTGCAATCTGGAAACAGAGCTGGAAGGATCGGGATCACGTAGCCCCATACTTTTCCAACTTTCTGTTTAAAACAATGGACCCTCTCTCCAAATATCTGTCCACAAGCTCCAACTTTGTTGTTGTTAGGTGGAGAGTATCTTGCCCTCATCCTTGCCCTTACCCAGGGCAAGTGAGCTACCTCTTCAGGACTCTAAGTATCCCTGGAATAGAATTTGAAGTCACTGATCACTCACCCTTTCAACTAAAGTCCAGAGATACAGAACCCTGCCCTAATGGCAGATGCATACAATGCATATTCCTAGGTTCTAATGACCAGTCACGCCTTTCACCATTGCAACCTCTCATATCCCTCTGCTCACCCCTTACTATTATGCTCCTGCCACCAAGCACAAGCCTTGGCAGTAAAGAAGTTTCTTTCCAAGGTCGTTAGCTTTCTAGAGAAGCTTTCCCAAGCTGGCTCCATAACAGCTGTTTCAGGACTACACTAGAGGATCCGGGCCTTAGCTCTGCTTTGCTGACAGCTTTTCCTTTCCCTCCCAGGGAAAGCAGCGTTTGCAATACAGTAAAACAAAACAATGAAAAGTTCCAAGAAGCTCCGTGTCTTGAAAAGAACCTAGAATGCAAGAAAGTAGAGTCCACAGGGGAACCGAAGGAGGATCCGGAGATAAGCAGCACAGAAAAAGATTCACCTGCAACAGTACCAAGGAAAAAAGAGCAGACGGAGCCTGCCCTCCCAAGGGCATCAAAGGGTCACGGCCTGAACACTGGAGCCCAGGGGAGGCATCCAGCCACGAGGGGCCCCCCAGTTGTTCTTTCCAAGACCTACAGCTACCGAACTCCCATGGGGGATATGAGGCAGCTGGATGTGAACGGCCAGTACACTTGGTTTGAGGGGCTGCCTACGCGAATCCACCTCCCGGGGCCCAGGGTCTTGTGCAGAGCCTCCCAGCTACGCCGCGTCAAGCGCCGCTGTACCCGCTTCTGCTCTGCATCGCTTGAAGTGCCTATGTACCGTTCATACAAGGTGGGTATGACAGCGCCGATGCCGGGCCGGGCTCAGGATCCCGATTCCTGAGGGCTGCGGCTGGCAGTGCCGGGAGGCTGCCTTCGTGCTCAGAGAGGGGGAAGCCACTGACCAAGCAGCACAGTGGACAGCGGCTAAGCTGAGGCCACTTCAGGATGCAACTAGGGGTCCCAGGGGAAGGAGGGCCACTGGAAGTGAGGGTTCCAAAGCCGGTATCTAATTGCCTGGAGGCTTCAGCGGGGTCTGCCCCCGCCCTGTGGCTCTGAATATCACAGGTTTAGGAATTTTTAAATGGGAGGGAGGGGCCAAGTTGGGCTTTTGCGGAGTTCCAACCCTTCTAGACCAAATCAACTGTGCTTTAGTTATGCTTCAAGTAAGATTTACTCCGAATAAAAATTTACTTAAGAAAAGAAACAAAGGTAGAAGACAATACTCATGGGATAAGTAGGTCCCATGAGAGGGAGCTATTGGTCCAGCTTTTAGTTTGTTCCAAGCCGCAGACATCCCTGGCCCTGTGCTCTCTCGCCAAAAGATAGCGCCCTCTGGCCGCGATCTTAGCGCCTAACACCTGAGGTCTCCGTACGCAGGTGGTGTGACCCTGGATGGGAGCTTGGCAAGTGAGGAGAGGGTAGAGGTCGCACCGGCAGCTGAACACAAGGGATGGGTGGGAAAATTCTCGAGTCTACAAATAAAACTTCCCATTTGGCACTGAAGGTGTTGCTGCAGGGTTGTCTGGGGTTGGTGAGACTGAAGGAAAAGAGCATTCGGTGGGGGTGGCTAAGGGAGTAGAGTACTGTACTATGACTTCCGGCTCCCCCAGTCTCCAGCTCTAGGCTTCTAAGGTCTAGAACCAGAATAAAGCCCGCCACCTTCACCCCTCCCTCTCTGAAGCTGATCTCCCGGGCAGTGTATTCTTTTGTGAAGTCAAAGAACGTTTGTGTGTTTCCTGGGTGCAAGCTGCCTCACAATGGCCCTGTGAGGCGAATTTACCAAGAAGCTGTGGCTCTGGGCGTGGTGGTGTACACCTATAATTCCAGCACTTGGGAGGCTGAGACAGGATTGCTGCAAATTCTAGGTCAGTCTGGGCTACACAGTGAGTTTAAGGCCAGCCTGAACTACACAGTGAGACCCTGCATCAAAAAACCAAAAGGAGGCTATGGTGCCCAGACAGAAAGTGACTTACCCAGCCTGCCTCGGAGAAGTGGCAAAGGCAAAAACCAATCTACTGCATTTCCCTGAAAATAAAACCAGTTCTAATATTAATTTTTGCTCCAAAAGATGCAACAGGGGGGATGCTTCAGGGGATGTCTTTTTTTTCCATTTACAACAATGAACATTTATTCAAATACAGTCGTGTCATCTCCCTCTGGAACATCATCATAACTCTCCAAACCCTGAATTCCAGCCAGAATTTCTTGAGATTCCATTTCCCGTGGAACCACTAGCCCTTTTCTGGCATGCCCAGCAATACAGCTCTCCTTAAATGAGCACCGCTTGTCCATGTCACCTGCACGCTGGCAGGCAACAAGGCCGTCAGTGATTTCATCCCTTGAATTCTTCACCCAACTCACCACCTCTTGCAGGTGAGGCTTCATGAAGCTTCCATTGAATTAACTGAAGACTTATGAGACGGGAATGGCAACAAAAATGACAGTGCAGGGTGATGGGCTGCACAAAAGTGAAAAAATTACAGGCACCAAAATCCAGAAAGCATTTTTTTATTTCGCACATATGCATTAAGTACACCCATTACAACACATGACTTACTGAATTACGAAGATTTGTATGTCCTTCACAATCAAGTGGGCATGTGATTGGTGCATTGTGTCTGTACTCTGATTGGTCACTGGGCACTAAGTCTCAAGTTCAACTGCTTACATAGGCATTTGTTTACCTCTCATCCAAAGGCACCCATTTGGATATTTAAAAATAATTATAATTCATTTTATTATTAATAAAAATATTACTTATATATAATTACATATTAATATTATGTTGTAATTCAATGCATCCATCATGTATTGCAATGGACGTACTAAATCAGGGGTGGCAAACCAATTGTTTTTCAGACAAAAGATGTTAGTTGATGTAAGAGTTGTTTTGTGTTTTTTTAACACAAAATCTCAGTGCTGTATTCAGGTTTAACTGCAGTAGTGGCACTCTGCAATAAATAAGTGGGTTTTGGGTTGCTGTTTGGCACTCGGTCTCTAATAGGTTCGCCATCATGGTATCAAATCTATCCATCTGGCTGACCTTAACTAGGGCTTACCTTACAAGGATCCTGAAAAAGCATGCCAGAGTTTATTTTCTAATTAGGTCTTATTTTGGGAGAAATACAATAGACTTCCTGGCTGCTCCCCATTCCATATTCCCAAGAGAGAAGGAAGGCACAAGTAGAGCCTTCCCAGACAGAGGTCCCTGGGCTAGTGGAGTAGTCCCAGCCTCCAGCCCAGTGCTGCTGATGTCAGCTGTGGGTGTCAGCTGGGCCTCCGAAAGTGTCCTACCTGGATCACAGATTAAGAAAAACCCCAGGTCAGGCAGGGAGCTAGCACTGTGTCCCTGCCCAGCATGTCCACCATCAACCCCAAACTCTGGTTGGGGCCACCCTCTTATTGGTAGGAGCCGTAAGGCCCAAAACAATGTAGTAGGGGAGAGGAAAGGGGAGGGGGAGCCCAGGTTTCTCCATTTCAAGACTATAATCCTCCGTATTCCCTAGAGGGGGTCTGCACAGAGTGGATGCAAAGTCCTTGAAAGGGGTAGACCCCTCCCCAGAGGGAGACAGGGCAGTGATGCAGAGATCTGAAGTTTGGGACAGGGTGAACTATGAGAGGGCCTCCTCCTTACTCCACCTACTCCCACTGCTCCTCCCCAATAATTCTGACTAGAATTAGTCAGCACTATGACAGGGCATGAGTAGGGCCCTGGGGCCAACACCTCAGCCTGGCCATGAGCCTTGGTGAGGGGAAGGCACTGCACTACTACCGCTTAGCCTCAGCCCTGCTCCTTACCTTCTCCAGTGAGCAGCAACCCTGCAACTGCACACGGGTGACCTCCACTGCCAGCTGTGTGCCTGCTCAGCTTGCACTCTGGCCCACTTGGTTCCCCAGCTGGGTATCATCAGCCTTGGAAAGTAACCTTTATTCATTCTGCTTTCCCAAGCTCCTTCTGACTCATCAACTTTAGTGCGATCTGTCCTGAATGTATCATCACTAGGTGGTCAGGGAAGCACAGTCCCCATCACACTTTCTGTTCTGGGACCTCTCCCCCAGCACTGGTCTTGGTAAGACCCTTCCCAGAGAGCCCCAACTACCCAGATGGGGTAGGCCTGGGCAAGAATGGCAACTTCCACTTTGCCCCACGGAGGGCCAAGCTGGGCTCTAATTTCTCAAGGGGGAATCCCACCACACCACCCACAAAAGGGAGGCTGAGATTGGCCTGGCTACTTGAGGACCAGGACTGTGGATCTGGATGGGAATAACTCCTAGCAGAGCACTGCTTCCAGCCATATTCCCAGCCTGCCCTGGCAGTGACTGGTATGTTGCCTCTGGCAACCTGCCCACCAGGTCCCACAACTGGAACCTCTCCACTATCACTTGATCACTTCAATCTGACTCTTCCGGGCTCAGTAAGATCCTGATTTGGGTAGGCCATCCCAGAAATGGCTAACAGTGATCTGGGAGGAAGGGGGATAACTTTAAAATGTTTGGAGCTCATTATCAAGTGAATTGTAACAAGTCACATGACCGCTCTGAGCCTATTTCGTGTGTTTTTAAAATAAGCACACTAAAGTTCACTTCAGAGGCTTTAAGCAAATCAAGCTTATGTAGATGAAGCCAGTTGTGTAGAACAAATGTCTGGCTTTTCCCTGGCCCTTTGCAATAATGAAGCCTCCAGGATCAGTACTGACCCCGTTTCTTGCTCGTCAGGAGCTACAGAACTGCTGGCTTTTAGGAATTAGCTGCTTGTTAACAAGCTAAGCTTATTTCACATTCACCTTTTGCCAACTGTTCCAACTGTCCATAGATTAGGTCCTATGCAAACAACTGGAATGTAAAAATAAGATGAGGCCTTTGAGGCAAATAGGCCTTTTTTTTTTTTTGGTACTGGGGATCGAGCTCGGGTCCTTGTACTTGTGAGGCAGGTACCAGAACCACTGAGCTAAATCCCTAGCCCTTAGGCCTAGCTTTTTGACCAGCTATGTGATGTCAGGGAAAGGTGTTTACTCCCTCAATTTATAATCCTCAATTTCTTTGTTTGCAAAATTCGAGAAAGTGATGCTTATCTCACTGGGTTAAATGAGAATATACACTAAGCACTTCGCAGGGCAAGAGACAACACTTGGTGGTGGCACCTACATCACAGGTAAGCCTACACCCTCTGTAACAATAGAAAACACAGTGGTTTAGGAGGTGATCTCTCCTGTAAAATGAGGAGGTAGACAGTAGCTTCATAACTCTGAGTTATGGGTCACTTCCTATATGCCAGGCACTGTGCTAAGTTCGTATCTATACATTTCAATAAATCCTTACAATCCAAGGAAGTAAGTACAATTGGCATTCCACATCTGAGTTCTACAAAAAAAAAATCGGACCCCCCAAATATAAAGACCTGATTCAAAAATGGGCATCTGACATGGACAGACATTTCTCAGACAAACACACCTGTGAGTTCTGTATCTTCGAGTTCTGCATCCATGGATTAGACAACCATGTACAAAAATATTGGAAAAAAAAAAAGCACTTCAGCAGTACTGAACACGTACAGACTTTTTCTTATCATTCCCTAAACAATAATACAGTACAACTTTTTGGGGGGGCAGGTTGAGACAGGGTCTTGCTATGTAGTTCAGGCTGGCTTGAGCTTACTATGTACTCCAGGCTGGCCTCACACTCATGGTGATCCTCCTGCCACAGCCTCACATGCTGGTATTACAGGCATGCACCACCATGCACTAACTGAGTAACATTTATATTACATATTGTAAGTACAAATTTATTTGTTTTTGAGACAGGGTCTTGCTGTGTAGTTCAGGCTGGCCTCAAACTCACAGCAATCCGCTCCAGTGCTATGGTTACAGGCATTCACCACTAGAGTCAGCTGGGATTTGCTATTCTTAGGGATCCTAAAAGCAACCTCCCATGGATACTGAGGGTTTACTACAATTAATCCTCATTTTACAAATGAGGAAAGTGAGGCAGGGTGAGCTTAAGTAGTTTACTCAAGGTCTCACAGCTAGTAATAGGGATGCCAGGACCTAACACTCCACTGCAGCGCTCTGAAGCTTTGTACCCTGACTTGCCCAGGTAGTAGCAGGACAATGTTCTGCTTCCTCTATCCTTCCTGCGTCAATGCTATTTTTCCTCCCTTTATTATTTTCCTATGGAAAACCTCAAGCAACAGTAGTGTTTAATTCCCCAAGAATCCCTTGTACCCCGAATCCACCCCTAGGTCCCTCAACCCTGGGTCCTCGGAGATCCTGCCCCTGAGGTCCTGTGGTCTCTGGGTTGCAGGTACAAGGTCTACCACACCTGTGAACCAAATGCCCTCTGTGACTGCCAGAGGAAGCTGATCTTCAAGTCACAGAGCAAGGAGTCCAAGAAACTGGGCTTCCAGAATAGTATGTTTGAGCTGTACAACCCTCGAAGCCAAGGATTTGGGGGGACCTAGGGCTTCCCACTAATCCTCACCGTCTCAGATGTTTCTTGGCTTCCATTCAGCTCTGGTTTGGACAGGGCTGCCTAGAGCCAGGGGTTAGAGGTGTCCTCTGAGCCATCCATCTTCCTCTTTTCCCATCTTCCTCCTTGGTTGTAAACTACTCTGAACACAAATTATGCAAAACTCTTCACTTTTCCCCCGAATGGCCAGAGTTCAAGTGGTGGGTAATCAAGGGAGACTAACTTCAGTTCCCCAGAAAATCAAGAGATATGTCAAAACAATGGGCTGAAAGCAGCTTTCCGATCTAGGTACCATCATTTATCCTTCAGAAATAAAGACACTTCCCACATTCCTACAATCATCTGGAAATCTCTGGCCATATTTTATATATTGCCTATTAGTTTTTCTTAGAATGATAGTACAGTAAATCTTCAACTTACAAATATTTGAGTTGCAAACTTTCACAGTTGTACTGTATAAGACTCACTCTGTTGGACTTATGAACAAATCCTATTTAACAATTGTTCTGCCAGAACAGAATCTGTTTGTAAGTTGGGGACTTACTGTAATGGTTATAAAGTTCTATTCATTCTCAGTATTTAAAACAGTAATAACTATGGGAAGAGAAGATATGCGTACAAGGTGACCGACTGTTCAACCATTCAGAACTTATAGATCCCTAATGATCAAACTCTTTAGAATAGCTTATTAATGTCACTGTCTGTACCCTAATTCTGGCACTGCCAGCTCCTACCAAGTAACTTTGGGTAAATTGTTTAGTTTCCTCATCTACAAAACACAGATGCACTCCTGTAATCCCAGCACTCTTCAGGCCAAGGGAGGAGGATCACAAGCTTCAGCTCAGCCTGGGCAACTTAGTGAGACCCTCTCTCAAGGTAAAAAATAAAAAGCCAGGCATGATGGTGCGTGTCTGGAATTCCAGCACTAGGGAGGCTAGGGCAGGAGGATTACTGTGAGCTCAAGGTTAGACTAAATTAAACAGTGAAACCCTGTCTCCAAAAAAATAAAAATTAAAAAGGCTGGAGATGTAGCTCAGTGTAAAGGCCTTTAGTTCAATTCCCACAAAACAACAAAAACAGATGATGGTATATTCCCTATTCCAGACGTTTGTTGCAAAAACTGAAAAAAAAAGACATACCAGTAAATGCTCTTAACCCACTTCTAGACACCTAGTAAGCACTCAATGAATGTTATTATTAAAACAACAAATGTCATTCCCACTGGCCAGTCTTTTCTGGAATTCACCTGTAGAAACTACTCCTTTGGTTACTTAAAAAATTGTGAAAATCTTAAGGTCACTAAGCCTAGATGTTGCACTGTTGAAAAACAAACAAAATCCTTCACTCCTCTTACTTTGGGCAGTTTATAAGGTAAATTAACACCCAAAAGACAGAAGACTGGTCACTATAGAAGATACACAGAAAAAAACAAGCTTTTAAAGCAATATCCATCCAACTGTACATGGGTTGCATGAAGCCCCATAAGATCATAAAATTTTAGCATTATTATGATTTTTAGTGATATTTTACATTACTCAATTATGTGGCACTTGAGCATGGACTGCATAGATTGACAACCAAACACTGCAGGGAAGGGTGCAGTGCTGTGCTAACTCTGCCTCTTTTGCCTGCCACAAAGTCTAATATAACCCCACAAATATCAGATGTTACATTCACTTGTGGGACTTGGCAATAAAATGGTAATTATCAATAAGGGCATTTCAATCTACTTCTGTGAAGACAGGTGTTTCCTCTTATGAAGCAAACGTGTAGGTTTCCTTACTAAACTTGGACTTATGTTACTTCATTTTAATGTTATAATAAAAATATAAAAATAAAGAAAGTTTTGTTATTTTTATACATTAGTTATATATGGCCCAAGACAATTCCTCTTCACTCATATAACCCAGACAAACCAAAAGACCAAACACCCACACCTTAAAGGAAATTCTAAAGAGGTGCTCCAGCCATATCAAGGGAGAACAGCATCAAGATATGAGTGTCCTGAAGTGTTTCAAAATAGTCACAGGCCTGCATTTGTGGTGTCTAGGGAGAAATCCACTGGCCCATCTGGTCTTATGTCCTAGACTCTGCCAGAAGAAATACTGTGTCCCAGTAGCAAGCACTTCTTTCCAGCTTGACCACAGTATTCTGAGTTACCAAGCTGCCTCACTCTAGTACAGTATTCTGAGTTACCAAGCTGCCTCACTCTAGTACTTTCCCAGCTACTGTCCAGGTTGTTCACTCTTAGACCTTCATCCTGTCAGCCTCAAATCCCTACTCTGCAGGGCTCAGAGCCACAATGCTACAGAGACATAGTAGGAGGAAACCCTCAAAACACATCCACATAACTATAACACTTAAAGCTAAAAATTGACAGCTCTCTTGTGCAAGATCCAGAAAAGCCAAAGAACAGTGACAGTGTCAATGCAGAAGAGGGTCTAATCCTGTGCCATCTGTGGCATATTTGGAAATCACAGACAAGAAGGAAAAAAACTCCCAAAAGTCACGAGGTTAACCAGAGGCACAGAGATGGTGTGGCACAGGGCTTCCCTGTACTAAGTACCTATTTTAACAAAATGCAGGAATAATTCTGAGGTTCAGGAAAGGAGATGGCATAATAATTCTTTACAGCTCCCTTGCTGGCTGTGCCGATCTTTCTCAGTCCCAACCATGGCATTACAAAGTAAGTATAGGCAACTGTGGAAAATACTGTATTTATATATATAGGAAGAACAGTTGCAAGGCCCTCACAGAGGAAATTCTACCACAAAGAAAAAAACTTAGCAGCAAATTTGTATCTTTCCCAGCATAAACCAGACAGGAAAGATGAGCTTCCTATTTCTGGACACCCATCAGACCCTCCCACCAGAAAATTACAAATAGGTCAGGAAAAAAGAGGTTCAGTGGGAGCCTGTTTTCTTGGGAATAGGCAGTGACTCTGTTTGGAGGGTCAGATGGAAGTCATGCTGGGATTCTTCTCAGGGTTCCACAGCCTTTGTTGCGAACTGGCAGCATGATGGAGACCCAGCAGAGTGACTGGACAGCAGTTAGTCATGGATTCTTGGGTACACACATGTATACAGGGCAACGGTTGTCTGTCCTCCTTGTGCTTCTTGATGTCTCCATCTTCCGTCCTCTCCCTGACAGCACCCTAGTGCTCTGCACCTACATTTCTTTCTGTGACTAAGGATCTGGAAATCAAGTTTTTCTCCAAACAGAATCACTGTGGATCGGCAACTCAGCAAAGGTAACAGCTGTCCCGGGGGAGTAAAGCAGATGAGTAGAGGAGTGGTTTGCGCCAATCAGATATCCTTGATTCTTTTCCCAATCAGATATCCTTGATTCTTTTTTTTTAAAAAAATAGGCTGGTAATAGGAATGATGGCTCAAGAGAGACATCATTCCAAATCTGTTATTATTCTCAAAGAGGTTCCTTTCCTGACCTTCCAAGACCAAGGTTTCAGAGACAGAGGCCATTCTTGCAGCTGTGATCCTGACTGCTACCTGCCTTCTTGATGGGGTCTTGCTATCTCTCCATTAACAGAGACTTCGTTATTTCCGGGGTTCCTCTCAGACCTGGGCTGGGCCTTATCTGGAAAGCCTGAGCATCCCAAAGTGTTAGGGGTACCAAGTGCCAGATGAGTGTCCAAAGGGCCCAATTCTAGACATTGGATTTAGGGGCCGAGTTGAGGGGGATCTCCTTGAGTTCCGTCCGCATACACAGGTACTCCCCAATGACAGCCATGAGTGCAATGCATACAGCTTGGACCAGCCACCAAGTCAACGCTGAGGGAAAACGGGAGCTGTAGAACCAGCAGCCCAGGAGGTGAAAGAAATGGACAGTAACAGTGAAATCCAGACACTGCTTCCCTCGCCGGATGAAGTACAGCAAACCCAGGGCACTGTAGGGAAAGGACAGCAGCAAGTTGTCACTGGGTTGTCCTGGCCTTAAGATTAGGTTACTTGGGTGATATGGACAATTAGGATGACAGCAGAGTAGTCAGAAGTAAGCGACATAAATACAAAGCAAGGATTACGATACCTAGAGGAATTGGCAGGTAATGTCAAAAGTGAATTCGACTGAGCAAAAGAAAACAAAAGTACAGACTTAAGTGTGACTCAAGGGTAAACTAGGTGGGGTAGCCAGAAAGCATACAGGTTCTAGCTAAAATGAAGACAAACTACTAGCTTCTAGACAAATCTTATCATGCTGGGTTAGCTTGAAATCCATCAATCTTCCTGTTATTCAAGAGTAGCCAGAAATCTGAACTTTTATAAAATAATATCAACTAGCTGAAAAAAAAATGTTTTAAGAACCATGCATGAGGCAAGGTGTAGTGGCACAAGCCAGGAATCCCAGCACTTGGGAAGCTAAGGCAAGAGGACTGCCCCAAGTTCGAGGCCAGTGTGGGCTACATAGTTTAAACCAGCCTGAACTACATAGTGAGGTCCTGTCTCATGAAAACCACCCCTCAAAAAAAGAAAGAAAACCCAAAAAAACAAAAAAACAGGCATGAACTAATATGAAACAACATATTTGGGAGGGAAATTCAAGTTAAAATCAGCCCACCAATTTTCAACCTTCAATTTAAGATCAAGGATGTTCAAGGCACTGTTCTAAGTACTTCCTATCAATTGATATTTAATCCTTACAACTATGACATAGGTGACCTTACAAGCCCCACATTAGTGATGAGGAAACTGGGGCTTAGATTAACTTGTCCAAAGTCACTAGACTAATGGTAAGATTGAGATTCAAAGCCAAATGAGTTTACCTCAGCCTGAGATTTTGATCACTATGCTAAAGCGCTTCTCAGAGAGGGGCAATAGTTATGAGTAACCTTAGACACTGCCTAGTCCAACATCTTGTGTATAGATAAGGAACCTGAGGCCCAGAGAGGAAGAAAGTAATTCAGCCAATGTCAGAGAGATCAAGAATAGAGCCAGTTTTCCCAAGTTCTAGTCTAATCCTTTCCTCACCTCATGCCACATCAGGGAAGTGACCTGAGTTGGAAGCTGTCATGCAGGCAGCACACACACAGTGACAGAAAAGCTTTGCAGGTAAGTAAAAACAGCAATGGAAGTAGTCCCATGATAGAGCCAGTCCCAGAATTGGCCTCTGCCACCCACTTTAGTCTACCACTCCTCAGGAACAGACACCAGATGTCTCATGTCCAAATTTAGAAGCTAGCCCCAGTTCTAAGACCCCAAAAGCTACATAGCAAAAACAGTGGTACTTACCAGGTGAGGGCATTAAGGATGAAGGACATCATGGAGAGTCGGCCTGGAGGGGTGGAAAAGCCCAGGATCTGAGGGGGAATCACAAATAGAAACATGCTGGAGATGTGACTTCACAGAGTAAGGATTCCAGGGTATAGGATCCCAGCAGGCCTCCTTCAGTACAAGCATTCTTCAGAGAACACAGCAGACAACAGCCCTTCCTTCATGTGCATGGCAGCCTAATTCCAACAAGGTTTGTTCTTTCTCTATATATCTGTCTGTCTGTCTCTCTCTTTCCATCAAGGTACAGTGGACCATTGACTTATGAACTCCATCAGTTCCCAAGGGCTGCTTGTAACTCAAGTTGGTTGTAAATCAATACAGCTGAGATCTGGATGTTAACCTGGGTACATGCTATAGATAACAAGAGGCAGATAAATCTTCCATTAATCTAACTAACTCAAGTTGTTCATATGTCAGGCCAGTCGTAACTTGAGGGTCCACTGTACTTTCATGCACATCTATTGTAGTATTTCATTTAATCCTCATGGTACGTGGAAGGGTAGTATTATTCTCATTTTCAAAAGGATGACATAAAACCTCAAGTTGCCCAATGACACAGTAAGTAAATAGCAAGAGTAAGGTCTCAAAGGTTGTTCATCAAGTTACAGCCCCACTGACCAGGCACATGCTTTTGTAAACAAAGTTTTATTGAACATAGCCCACAAATAGTCACTTAACTATTGTCTATGGTTGCTTTTCCACTACAACGGCGGAGCTGAGTGGTTGTGACCTAAAATCTTTACCACTTCCCCCATTCAGAAAAGGTTTGCTGAATTCTACCCTTGATCTCAGGTTGTATACAATAGGTGGTCTAGGATTTCCACATGCCCTTCCCAGGAAGAAGGAAGCTCCTATTCAGTTACTACGAAGCACTGGGGCATGCGCAACCTCCACTACTCTTGACGAGATACTACTGAAGACCAAACATCTGCCCCATATTTGCAATTTACAAAGGCCTTTGATATCCATAATCTCATACTATCCTTACAAAAATCTAGAAAAGCCTTTACTATTACCACTACCACCTCTTTTTGGATAACAACTTGCCCAGGGTTCACACAAAGAATAAGAAACAGGAACAAGGTCCTGGACACCATCCTAGGTCTCCTAGTTCCAAACTATGTTCATTACCATTTACCACAGCTGCTTCTCAGATGTAAAAACTTCTTAGGCCTGTTATACTTTATACAGTACTTTTCTACTCCTAGGTCTGAATCTAATAACATTTTACTGAGAGTGACAGAGAAAGAGAATTCTGTTCACTTTCCAAAAGAGGGAAGACTCAGAAAGGTGAAACAACTTGCTCAAGTTCCCATTATTACAGTAGTGTGTTTAAGCCTGGACTGGACCCTAAACACAGGCTCTTTGGCACCACAGTTCACTACCTCTCTGCTTCCATTGCCATGATTTTGCATACGGAAAAACAGATTAAGAGAGGTAACACTTGCCCCAGGCCACACAGCAAGTAGAATGAAACTTAAATAGAAGGCTGTCTTAATCCCAAAGCCTGGACAGTTTCCACTGCAACCCCATGAATGCCCTTTTATCTATACTTATTCCTAGTACGGACCGTACATATCTGGACTCAAAGAAGTGAAATCCCTTTCCCGGATTCTCAGAAAACAGAAGTATGAGTTGCCTGGGATGCAAGCCTGTTTATAACAACATGTAGGCCCTTTCCTTTGCATTCATCTGCTTCTGTTACCAGTCTCTCCATTTTATGGATGGGGTCGCTGAAGCTTGGAAGAATGAAACTTTACCAGAGTTATACAGTGAGAACCAGGGTGTCGTTCTAGCTCGTTCTAGAGCCTAGTGGTGTCAGACAACAGTCTACACAGTGAAGCAAGACCCCATCCCCGCCAGCCCGGGGACCCTACCTCGGCGTCGAACATCTGGTCCAGCGATGGGGTGCTTCGCACTAGAGCATCCACCAGCGCCAGCCACAGGCCCAGCGAGCCATAATAGACGGTCTGCATGAGGACGATCTGCGACAGGATCAGCAACGGGTCCCACACGTAGCTACGGAACTGGCCCGCCATGCCGGCCCGCGGGTCCTGGCCACCTCCCGCGCCTCAGCGTCGCCTTGCCATGGGCCCCGGCAGCCTGGCCACCTGCGGGGACACACGCTGGGCCTCAGCCTGCAGGCCGTCGCCTTGACAACGCCGCCCTGCCCGGGGGTGGGGGGAAACTCAGACGGAAGGGCGAGCCCATCCCGGGATCTGGAGGGGCAGAGCCGACAAGCTCATTCCCAGAATGAGAGGAAATCTTGTCCACTACAGCTGCTCGGCCCCCGCCGTACACAACTCCTACTGGGTTCACTCACCGGTGACTGACTAGAGGATGCAGCGTTCGAGTACGGCTCGTCTTCACCAGCTGGCTCCCAAAACACGAACAGACCGGACCATGGAGGAGAGGCCGACCTGCCTAGAGAGGCAAAGCTCTGACTACCCGAAAGGCCGAGGTGGCTGCGTGGGAAGGAAGCATTTCCGGGGACGGGGGCGAAGAGCAGGGCTGATAATGCGCAAGCGTACTGAGTACCATTTTGACTAAACCACCTATAGGGCCCAAGCTGCCGGGAAATAAATTTGCACATGCGCAGAATGAAAGATGAAGGCGAACGGAAGCAAGGCACAAAATCCGTAGCGCTCGCGTGCCCTCTAGAGGGCAATTGGGTGGTAGTGATGGGGCTATTAGGAGAGGTCGTGCAGGCGGTCTACTTTGGCTCGCTGACAAGGGTAATAATTGGTCTGAGTATTTAAGAGATGATAAACGTTGACTATTTTCAACTTAGATTCCCTGTGTTTTCTCCTATCGAGGGTCTTGAAAAGCACTTGCAAGCTTTTCTACATATTACTTTACCACTGGACCAGTTATAGGTAATGAAACTAAGGGCCAACGAAGAGAAGCCATATACTGTCCTGACAGCCACAGAGTTAGTGGACAGGACTAGAATTCAGGTGTTTCCAAACACTACAACATTGATTTCCCGCCTGTTGGGTGCTGGGAAGGTGAGAACACAGATGAGACAGTTCCTACCCTCAGACACAGTGTAGCTGTATTAGATTGGAAAGCCAGTGGATGTTTTATCATGTGAGTACCTGGCTGGGCTTAGTGACACACACCTGTAATCCCAGCACTCCGGAGGCTGAGGTAGGAGGATCGCTATTTAGTTCGAGGCCAGCTTGGGCTCAAAGTCAGCCTGAACCACAAGTGAAACCCTGTCTTTTAAAAAATGTGAGTATCCCATGGAAAAAAAGCTCAGGTTCTGAAATGACACCTGAGACCAAACTGTGACCTTGCCTGACACCATGATTATGTTATCGCTGCCTTCCCTGAGTCTCATTAGTAGACAGTAAATAAATATTTGCTGAATGAGTCAAGAACAGAGAAAGGACAACAGCAAAATGATGACATACTTTATTCCTGTACCAGGAGACCAAAACTCCTCAGTATCATTGATGCTAAATTTCCTTTCTCTGGAAGTAAATGATTTTAGGAAAACAATCTGGTTTTAGAGTCTCCTCTACCACTTCCTAGATGTGTGACCAGCAAGCCACTTCCTTTTTTAAAACCTCAGTTTTCCTGATAATGAAATGAGGATTTGAATAAGACTAACATTATCCAACATTTAATCCACCGTCCCACTAATTATTTTCCCATTTAAAGAGTTTATCAAAGAATCATAAACTGCCAATCAGAATTTCTGAACAGCATGTGATAGCTATGTTATCATCTTGAGTTGATACAATTCCAAAGAAAAGTAAAGAAATGTGAGGCTTTACCAAGAGTAAGTATGATTTTCATTATTTGGAAACACTGTAAACAATTCACTTGGACTCCAGTTTGGGAGTTAAGACCCAAAGTTGTCTGTCTTATGTGCTTTCCAGTTCAACTTATCTCTACCCCCCACCCCATTTTCTTAGGCACCCAGTTCAGTTCAACAAAGATATATTTAAATCCCCCTGGTCCATCGATTATTCACAATCTAGTGTTTGTGAGACAATATCTTCTGCTTATTAAGTGCCTATAGGATCTTGTTTAATCATCACAATCCAATCCAAGGAGGTAGGTTTTCGGCAAGGAAACTGATATTAAGAGAAGGGACATGATTTCATCTAAATCAGAGAGTTTATAGGAAGCTGAACTGGATTCCAAACATCAGATGCCATTACTGAAGAAAAGAAAGGAAGGAAGGAGACAAAGAAGTAGTCAGATGATGGAGTAGTAGTGGAGGATAGAAATGAAGCAGTAAAACCCCTCTGCTTAAGTAGCCCTAGGGTAAAGGTTTAGGGAGTGAGGTGAGAATGCAGGTTTAGGAAAAGGGCAAGAGTCACATGATTTAGTCACACCTGCCTTTCAAGTACAGGAATGTGTGGCTCTTCCTGGCTCTTCACCTTCACCATTCCCCACAGAGAAGGCTGTCCAAACCCATTCTCTCTCTCTGTCTCTCTCTCTCTCTCTCTCTCTCTCTCTCTCTCTCTCTCTCTCTCCCTCCCTCCCTCTCTCTCTCTTCCCCCTCTCCCTCTCCGTTCTCCTTCCCTCTTCCTCCTCCACCTCTTCCCCAAACCCATTCTCTTGAAACAGAAACTACTCTAGCCTTCAGCTAGCTGCACTAGGACCAGCTGGGGAGCTGGTTTCTGACCTCATTCCTAGAGCTAAGAGCTTATCTGGAGGAAACCCCACAGGGACCCGAGGGACCCAGAATCTTGTTTCCTTTTCCCTTTGAAAGTTTAGCTCTTGAATTCCCATCTAGCAGGGTCCTGGAATTGGGTACCATCCTGTTTCTTAATTTGAGTCAAGAAGGAAATCAAGAGCTGGGGAAAACCAGGGCAGTTCCCTTGATCAGCCTCTTTGGCCTATTTGTGAAATTTGACCACAGGAAGCCTTGTTCAGACCATAAAACCTGAGCTAGAGTGTTTCTGATTTCCTATGTGACTTTGGGTAAGTCTCTTGCTGAGTCTTTGTATCTTAAACAATAAAATAAAATATGAGTATTGGATTCTAACTTCCAAATGCAGCCCATGGTGCTGTCCCATCTGAATCACCCAATGAACCTACTATACATTCAGATTGCCACGTCTTTTTGCAAAATTAAATCTAAATTTCCAAAAGCAGAGTGCAGATATGTATGTGTGTGCATATATCTGTGTATCTCCATCTTTAAGATATAGATATATTTTCAGTGCTTCACACATGCTCTGTAACTGCTGTACTACTGAGCTACACCCACAGCCAAAAAGAAAAAAATCTCTGTATTTAAAGAGCTGCCCAAGTGAATCAGAAGTGCAGCCACATTTGGTAACTGCAGAATAAGATGATCTATACTTGACCCCAAAACAAGTCCTCTATCTAACAGAAAACTTTTTTCTGTGACCTTGGTATGTCCACGGCTCACAATGGGCTTCAGAGAATTTTTTTTCTATCTGTAATATGAGGGGGTTGGACTAGAACAGCTGGTCTCCAAGGGCCCTGCCAACACTGCCAACTCTGTAAACTCATGAATGAAATTTTAAACTTTAGGTCAGAGACGGAGTGACGAACATCCACTAACTGGGACAAACTGTCCTTCAGGTGGAGGGGAGGGGAGTGGGTCTGATCACTTGGTCACATACATCAGTCCCACACTGTGACAACTCCATGGCAATCACTTCCTGATCCATCTCCATAAGGGGCCCCTTGGAAGTGTTCTGACATAGCTCCATGGGCTTCAGAGCCTGCTTAGTTTCAAATCTTGGCTCTCCTACTGTCTTGCTGGGTGGATGACCCTGGGGAAGTGAGTAAATTTCTCCCAGTCTTAGCTGGTTTTCTATTCTGTAAAGTGGAGATCAGAAGAACACCCGTGTCATCGGCTGTCCTGAGGGTCATGTGCTTAGCCCACTGCCTGATCACCAGTTTGTGCTGTGTAAAAGATTTGCAATATTAATTGTTATTGGAATGTAGAATGAGCTCAGATTTATAGCAAGGAGTGTGTGTGTGTGTGTGTGTGTGTGTGTGTGTGTGTGTGTGTGTGTTTTACTGGAGTTGAATGAAGGGTCTTTGTACTTGCTGGGCAAGCAAGCACTCTACCATTGGATGTATCAAACCCACTCAATCGTTCGTTCATTCATTCATTTACTGTGGGTTTTTTGGGAGATAAGGTTTTGCTATGCAGAGAAGGCTGGTCTTGAACTCATTAGGTAGACCAAGCTGGCCTCAGACTTGTGATGATCCTTTTACCTCAACCTCCTGAGTTCTTGGATTATAAGCATGGGCCACCATTCCCAGCCCCCTCCTTTTTATTTTTGAATTTTGAAATAGAACCTCACTAACTTGCCTAGGCTGGCCTTGAACTTGAGATCCTCCTGCCTGTTTCTCAACTAAGTTGGGATGACCGGCATGAGCCATCATCCCCAGCTATGGAAAGGATCTTAAGTAACAGAGTGAGTAGGTTCTGTGGCACATAAAAGGGGCTCAATTAAACATGGTATCTTCTCTTCCTAATCACACCCACACTTCCAAGAGTCCCCAGTTCCCCCTCTCCCTCCCTCCCTTCTTCCTCTCTTACTCTGCTTTACTGCCCTGATTATATGTTTCCTTCCTGGGAATATTTTATTGAAACATTTCAACAGATACAGATTATGCAACTCTGTGTTCACACTTTTTGGAAACTCCCCGTGGGAGGCTAGCAAGCATTTGCCTTTTTCTGTTCTCCACATCAGTGAGGATTCTGGACTCTGGCCAGTGAGTTCCTCTCTTACAGTGGAAACTAGAGAACAAGAGCTAATTGGCTTACTTTTTCTCCTCTAAATGGAGATCACTTTGCTGTCCAGGCTGCTTGAAGAGCTGTGAGTGGGCCTGTGTTTGAGGAGAAACAGTTACTGGGCAGCTACTGTATCCTAGATACTTCCATTATCTCACTTAAATCTTATTTATTTCTAAAACAAGTCTATGAGTTGTAGATACTACTAGTCACACTTAGACGAGGAAGGGACACTATTTACCCAAGTCCACACTGCTAGTGGGTGGGGAGAGCTGAAATCCAACCCAGGTCAGTGTGCAGTGGACAGTTCACGTTCAGTTTGCTTACAGCTTTCTCATGACCACGTGACCCAACAGCCCCAGGGAGCTAGGCATAAACATTTTTCCCATTTATAGATAAGGTAACTGAGGCCCAAAGGAGGAAGTGATTCAATCAGTAACCAGCTGGGGTGTCGTGGATCAATCTGGGAGGCAGAGGCAGGAGAATGAAAAGTTCCAGCCCAGCCTATGCAATTTAACAACTTGGTGAGAACTTGTCTCAAAATTTTAAAAAGGGTCGGCAATATAGATCAGTGGGAAGGCCCTGGATTCAGTGCTCAGTACAGAAGAAACAAACCCCATTCCCCCTCCCCCAAACCCACACAAAACAAGGGCTTGGGTGTAGCTCAGAGGTACA